TGTGGGTTTTATTTTCCTTCGTTCCAACCCTGACCTCCATAGAAGCCATCAGCCAATGGACACAGGAAAGTTTCAGCCCCCTTTTCTCACCAGTCAGATGGCTTCAGAAGCAGAGTCCCAGGGCCACAGTCAACATCTGTTATTCCATCCACACCACCTCCAATCAAAGACAAGCTCTTGGGAGCTCATGAGCTCTGGAATCTGCAGAGATTTCCTGCTCCTTCTGCTGCCCAGCCAAGGAAGGTTCTTTGAGACTTCAACAAACAGCAACAGCTTCCTAATCAGAAAGCTGCTCCACATTGCCTGATGCCAGCCCAGGAAGCCAACAGAGGCCCAATGGAGCACATAACCACAGCTAGGTGAGTTTAAGAGCCTAGTTCAGGGTGCCCTTGGTGAAGCTGTCTTCAGTGTGGACCCTACACACCCCAGGCTGTCGACAGCTGAGTAGTGGACTGCCTGTCTGTTGAAGCAGTTTGTCTGGCCCCTCCCAAGCTCCCTGAGGGACTCCCTCTTGCACAGAGCAGGTGTAAAGCTTTCTGTCTGAAGATTGAAAACTGCAAGCGTATGGCCACCAAACAACTGCTTTAAAATGTTGACAGAGTTCCAGGCAGCCTACCTGATTGGGGGCTCAATCAGGGAGAAATCTGGGATAAATGAGAGAAACCCAGAGTGGAGCCAGCCAGAGTGGAAAATTTGATGGACTTGGCCTCTCACAGGGGCCAGAATTGAGAATTGAAAGGGGCAAGTAACCCTTTGGCTCTTTTTCAAAAGAACAGGATTCCAAGCTGCTCCTAGTTCCCTGCCTGGACCTTCCCTTCCTACAACCTGCTGTCCCCTCCTTCCCGCAGCTATTAAGAGGCCAACCTGAGAAAAAAGAGTTGAGGTATTGAGTTTCAGCCTTTGCTTAGGGCTGGCTTTGACTAGGAACCAGACTTGTAGGGAGGGTCCTACTGGAAGCCTCCAGTTTCCACACCTGTACAGGTGGCTTGGATAGCTAACCCCTCCCTTGGGGGATAGCCAGGAGAGTTCTAACTAACATTCTGGGATCAAAGCCTAGGATAAACACAGATACATATAAACTCTGCATAGGACAGCATGGAGAGTTTTCAGGGACACACATTTAGGCACGTGGAAGGGGTTGGCAGAAGGAGTTGAGGGCTATGTTAACTAATGTCTGCCCTTTTCAGGAGAATGTATTCATATGTGACTTGTATAATTGGAAATTTTGAAAATATAACATGGATGGCACATAGGGATATTTACCACAGAAAAGTGGTAGTTAAAATGAACTTACTTCAGTGGAGAAGGTTTCTTCATAGAAAGTGCTCCTTAAAGCCCAAGTGCATAACTGTGGACGAAATTATGCTCTGAGGATACTGATGGAAGGTTTCCTACCAGTTCTTTCCTTCTGCTGGGCCTCAGTGATGCAGAAGGCAGTGAAAACTACGTCCTACACACTCATAAGCTACTAGAGCAGTAAGATGCTTATGTGTTCCTCTAATCCTAGACCTAGGTGGTGTGGTAAACCTTTCATGGTGATAAGCAGCATGTCTTAGAAAAGTTTCCTCCCCTGTTGCCAGATGTGAGCTCCTTTCCATATCCATGCACACTGGGGAGAGTCACAGTTTTGGATAGAGGGGAATATAATCAGAAGACAAATGCTCCAGACAGATCATAGCTGAAGAGACAAGCAGAGGATCTTGCCATTAGCCATTTTGTCCCAGTGGCTCTTAAGGAAACAGTGTTGACTTTTCAGGCTGCTGCAGAGATTAACCAGAGGAGCTTTGGCAGCAGTTCAGGTTTGATCTGGAAGACCTCCTAGGTGAGGCAGGCAGTTGAAAGAAGCCCTAGTCTTGTCAGAAGCAGCCAAGCTGCCACATAGCAGGATAGGCAGAGAGGCAGTCAGGGAGCATCCAAGGGCTCCAACTGAGCTCACCTAGCTCAAGAGGTATTCCTCCAGGGGGGCCACCAGGCTGTTTGTTTGCAACTCAGGTAAATTGCTCCCAGGAGGGAGCCTTTGTTTCACAACATATTTTCAACAAGACTTTTTCTGAAAACATGTCTTGTCTGCACAGGCACAGAAGCACCCAGGCCCCAAAAGGCAGACTTCGCCCAACCTAGTTTCAGCTCTCTCTCTCCCTTGTAGTTGCCCTGTGGAGCCAAGTTGGGACAGAATGAAAGAGGCGCCTTTAGGCTGACCATGTGATGGATGACCTCTTGGTGTCTAGTTAATAAGCCCATCTCTACCCCAGGTTCACTTTTCACAACACCAAAGGCAGTGGAATCACTGTGATGGTGGCAGGAAGTGCCACATGCTACCTTTGTGTGAACAGATGTGTTTTTCCATCTACCTGTTGTAGCATGAATCTTACAGAGTATTATTAAAAAAAACAAACCTGAGGCCAGTTATTGGGGTGAATGCTGGAAGATCAGAGAAGCAGAACAAGCCACAGCTACCTCACCTTGCCAGTTCCTCAGCTGATCCTGTTTCCTCAGACTGGAAGCCTCTGAGTCCTCATCCAGAATGAATCTCAACTGAACTGAGATTCATTGTTCAGAGTCTAAAAGCTTAACCAGGCCAAAAGCTTCTCGTTTCTGGTCTTTATGCCTTATATACCTTTCTGCTACCTGCCATCACTCCCTGGGATTAAAGGCGTGAGTCACCATGCCTGGCTGTTTCCAATGTGGCCTTGAACTCACAGAGATCCAGAGGGATTTCTGCCTCTGGAATGCTAGGATTAAAGGTGTGTGCTACCACTGCCTATCCTCTATGTTTAATATTGTGGCTGTCCTATTCTCTGACCCCAGATAAGTTTATTAGTGTGCACAATATTTTGGGGAACACAATACCACAACCTGTTTCTCTTAACCATTCTCTGCATTTTGGAGGTATAGGCGGGACTTCCAGTCAGAGAAAGAGGAAGTGAGAAATGAATCTAGGCATGCAGGAGAAACCAACGAGACATAGAGACATAAAGAATGAAAGAAAGGTAAAAAGCCAGGAGGCAAAATGTAGATTAATATAAATAGGTCAATTTAAGTTACAGGAGCTAGTGGGATAAGCCTAAGTTATAGGCTGAGCTTTCATAATTAATAAGTCTCCATGTCATTATTTGGGAGCTGGCTGGTGGGACAGAAAATGACTCATTACAGACCCCGTTCTACCCGGGGGCTGCAGAGAGTGGAGGGAATGTCTTCCACAAAGTCTCCCAACCCTACTCTTAGCCCTTGGGTGTGCTCTGAGTTTCCAGGGCCCATTTAGAGGGCAGATAGTTCTCTTGGCTCTCCTGGTACAAAACACTTATGATTAGGCAGTGTCTTTTTCATTCTATAAATGGTTTCCTCTGGCACCCCACTACCCTCTGTGCTCTGGGGCCAGAGAGAAAACCTGTCAAGCATCTCTTAAGTGGCCTTCTCTCACCTTCTAGCAGGGTGAGGCTCCAAGGCCATATGTCTAGGGTCCCACTGAGCTGACAGCAGGCCATGTATTCTCATCTCAGAAGCACATCAGTCCCCAGAATATTTGGAGTAGAGGAAGCCTTGCATTGTATAAGTTACCATTAAGATGAGAGAGAGGTGACAAGGTAATGGCCAAATAGAATTTGGAACTGAAGCCTCTTCTCTCTTTGCCATTTCTCTCTCCTCCTCTCTCCCCTCTTTTCATCCCCCACCCCTATACACAGTTCTCTTCATATTTGATGACACATATTCTCCTACAAATGGAGAAATCTTGATAGATTTGGCTGTTTGGGGAAGTTCCACTTGCCACAAAGGTGATGTAAAAATTCTAGGTTCCCACACCCAGAAAGATTTGTCTTGGTTACTTTTCTGTCACTGATCCCTTCTCCCATTCATTCCATCAGAGCCCTCATGAGCTAAACATCTCTATAAATGACTCTCACACACACAAATATGGACTCTGCTAGTATAGATGTTAACTCCAAGCCAGTGGGCAATCAACCTTAAAACTATCAAATGTGTGTCAACCACTTGGTCCCAGGGAAAGGAGTAGCAGCCAGGTAAAACTGCCTAGTGACTGGGCTATCTGAGATGTGACTTTTAGGGCTATGAGTACAAAGGGCAGGACTGTAGCCTCTAGAGCTCTCTCAGGACCTCATCCTCAGACATTCAGTAGGAAGCAGGCCACTCCTTAGCTTAGGACTCCAGAGAACCTAGCCTAGACACAATATTTTCCCTGTCTTGCTAGAAAACCCCAGAGACCTGTAGTTCCTCTCAGGAACTCATTTTTTCCCTGGTAAAATGTAAAGATTTCTAGTCCTTTCCATGACATTTTCTCTGATTGAGTCTCTATACCATCCATGTGTCCTACAAGCAATCATTGACATGACATCAATGGGAAGGACTATGTGAAGCCTTTGCTGGGCTAGAGACAGTGAGAGTGCAGAATAGTAGGCAGTGGAGGACACCAGGGACCCAATCGCAGGCACAGTATTGGACCAGTGGGCTATCACCTAGTGTACCTCCCCAGTCCTGCCAAAAGTGAGGTGTAGATGAAGAATTTCTGGAGCCAGGTTTTGCTACAGTCATGAAGTATTTATTGAGCATGTTCTCCAAGCAAAGGCTTGAGTGGTGTGGGAGGAAGCAAGGGAGGAATACAAAGCCAAACCTGCCCACAGAGGATGGAAGAGAAGTAATGCTGGGTTACAGAGGCCAGGCCCACAGAGCTTGGTTCTATTGGCAGGCAAGTTAGGTAGTGCTTATGCCAGTGTTTCTGTCAGGGCTGGTGATATCTCCACACAGGCACATCTGTGATGCTACTCAGTGGTTTCCTAGCCTCGAAGCAGCTAGAATCTCACAATTGAGTGAGTTCATCTCCAGGCAGGAGGCTTGAGCAGAAGGGTAAAATGACCCAAATGCTACCTGTTGGCTGCTGCGTGATAGAATGGGGTGGGCAAGGGCATCCCTGAAAGCAAAGGGAATATGAGAGGAAGGGATGGATGTAGCAGGGCTGTGATGTCTGTGAAACTTCATTGGTGCATTCAAAGCCACAGGTTGGCTATGCACACTGACATCAGCAGACTAAAGAGCACAGTCTCTTTATGGCGCCAGGTGGCATCCTGATCCTCAAGGGCATGCAGCCTCCCAGAAACCACTTGTATCTGTGGAGGGACTAAACACAGGGCTTGTGAGCAGGAATCGCTCTTATGAGAAAGGCAAGATATAAGGGTAAGGGGAAAGTATGACCTTGAAACAAAACGAATCTTTGTTCCCCTTTCTACCTCTTTTTCTCTTCCCCAATTCCTGTTCCACATCTCCACCATAAAGGAAAGTCAAGGGTGAGCACCAACATAAGGTACTCAAGCCAAGAAGAAGAGAAAGGGGAGCCTGACCGCATTTCATTTGCTACAGGATATGATATTATGACAAAGGCTATGAAAATTCAGGGGGCGACTTTGTTCACAGCTGCCAAAATCACCTACTCCAAGGGACTATGATGCTTCCTCCAACTGTATAACAGATGCTCACCTGCCTTCTCATGACTTCCATTTCCAGCCCATTGAGCTGTTCCAGGCCAATCTCTGCCACTATATCTGCCTCCAGACTGTTGTGAGGAAAGGTTACATGGGTCAGAGGTGCTAGTGGTCATAGAAAAGATATAGAGCAATCAGGTAAGCCTGGAGGCTTTTTGGATAAAGACTCCAGTCCTTCCCTTGTGTAGTAAAGCAGCCTGAGGGTTTACCAAAGCATATGAAGATTCCCAAATGGCCAGGAAGCAATAGTACCCCAATATTTCAGGTACATACAACTGCTTCTTGACTCAGATGCTCACCAGTCCTTATGGCTCTGCTCCCCTGCTTGTCTCCTCCCCCCCCCCCCAAGTAGCCAGGAACAAGACAGTTGAGTTCTGACCACTTGTAAGGGAATCTCCACCCTTGGAAGTTGCCAGGAAGCTCCTGAAGATGGGTATCCCCCTGACTCTGATCTCATGGCATCTGGGGCACCTGCACCTGCTGTCCCTACAGAAAGAAAGGAAACACCTTCCAAGCCACATGCTCAGCCCCACATTTTGCAAGAATCAACAGTGCACCCCAAAAGGAGTCCCACTGCTGTGGATATCACTCCATATAAATAAAATGCTGATTGGCCAGTAGCCAGGCAGGAAGTATAGGTGGGACAAGCAGAGAATTCTGGAAACAGGAGGGCTGAGTCAGGAGCTGCTGCCAGCCATTGCCATGACAAGCAACATGTAAAGATGCCAGTGAGCCATGAGCCATGTGTCAAGGTATAGATTAATAGAAATGGGTTAATTTAAGATAGAAGAACTAGATAGCAAGAAGCCTGCCACGGCCATACAGTTTATAAGTAATATAAGCATCTGAGTGATTATTTTATAAGTGGGCTGTGGGACTGTGGGGGTTTGGTGGGACCTGGAGAGAAACTCTCCAGCTACTTCCCATGATGTCATATCATCTTCCTATACTACCACCACCACCCCACCACATACACACTGTTCCTATTGGTAGCTTCTAGCCTTGCATGCTGTGTCAAGGGAAATGCAGTGACAGGCTTCTCTGTACTCTGGTAGAACTTTTACATGCAGGCATCCCTTGAAAGGCCAAGCTACCTACTGAAGAAGAATGTAAAGCCTTAATTTGATTTTAAATAATTTAAAAGAAAACATCATTTAACACCATGGAGATTTATAAAGAATTGTGTACTCATCCCTTGGTGTCCATGGAGACTGTTTCTAGAACAACCCCCTCCCTGCAGTTACCCAAATCTGCAGATTCTCCAGTCCCTTGTATAAAAGGTCACAATATTAGAATATAGTACCAGCATATCTTCTTATATAATTGAAATAATTTCTATATTACTTATAATGCCTAATAAAATATAAATGCTATCTAAGTAGCTCTTATACTTTATTGTGTAGATGATCATGGCAAGTAAAAGTCCTGTACATGTTCTCTATAGATGTAATCACCCCACCCCCACCCCCAGATACTATCATCCATCTATGGTTTGTTGAGTCAATGGATGCAAGACCTATGAATGCAGAGGACCAACTATAGATGTATTCTTCTGTCAACATGTTTGTTAGGCATGTAAATTTCCAGCGTTGAAGCCCCAGCATTATACAGGACAGCCCCAACCTTTCAATGGTCTACCCTGCTTTCATTTGCTTTCTTGGCATATGGATGCTTCCACTTCCCAATAACCAGAGCTGGATATACCATAGGAAGACAGGAGTACCAAAAGTAAGTACTCCCCACCCTAAGATAGTCATCATGTGTCAATACCCCTTTCTTGAGACGAGATCCAGTCACATTCCAAAATGACTGGCTTGAACCAGATCCAGCAGGTTTTTGCTCTGCCCTTGGACGTCTTTGGAATCCCTCCAGTGACCAGGACCCATGTTCTGTCATTTCTATAAAGAAAAACTGAGACTTCTATGAATACTGTTAAAAGTTGTACCAGGACTTGCTGGGTACTGAAGACAGCAGAAATCACTCAATACCCATTCACTTCCAACTCCCAGCCTATTTATTTGTCTGTTCAACAGGTTAGTATGTGCTTAGTGAAGTCCTGGCTCTAGACCTAGGATTCTGTAGAATGAACAAGGATCAAGAGATGAAATCCCAAATACCAAGTATCTCTATATCAGAGAGAATAGGAAATACAAATAAGAAAATAATCCATCCGTGTAAATTCAGATTAGCAAATGGTTCATGACTGATTAAAAACCAAAACAGGCTAACATGGCAGGAGAAAAGCAGAAGTCAACATTGAAAAACCCAAAACAGACAACCTTCCAGACTAAATGAACAGCATACACAAAGGTTGTGGGATGTTGTAGAAGTAGAAGTGGACCCACATGATTAACTATAGCCAAGAGGCATTTTAGGGGATTCTCACCTGGCATCACTGACTGTTCTTGGCTTTGCTCAATGTTTCCAGTCCCTAGATCTTCAAAAATGGACATTTTTAACTCTTCTTTGAAAACGGAAGGGCGTCCTGCCATCACTACCAGGTATTCATTTCTAAGGATGCTCAAGATGGAAGGCACAAAGAAGACACTCGGAAACTCTCCTCTTCCAGGGGTAGAAATGCAAGGGAAATACACTGGCACAAGAGGGTGGAGGCAGCTTTTCCTCTCTGTGCTCAGGCCTTGGATTGGTACCTTGTGTTCCCACTGTATCTTGTTGGTGGGTCCCATGGCCTTCTCTTCTGCTGTTTAAGCAACTTGGAGAAGAGATAGGGCTCCAAGTCGTGCTGTCTGTGGGAGCTGGCCTAATTCATCTTCCCTTAATTTTGCTCTTCATGGGTAGGTGGACCCATCCTCCATTATGGTCTAGGAAGAGACAAGGACTGGCATAAGGTCTAATGCCATAATCCCAATTAATCCATAAATGCCCAAAGTAGTTACAGTTCACATACTTATTATGGTTTCTACAAGCCCAGCGCTGGCCAATAATCTAGGGTACAGCATTCTATCAGAGGAGATTCTCTGTACAGAACATCCTGCCTCCTCCAATGCAGAGTCTCCAAGCAAAGTAGATGGCCTTCTCTGATCTGAATCCTGGGCAGAAAGCAGGGAGTGGCAAGAGGAATATGCTGGGGTTGTATACCCTGATGTATGTTTTGGCTCTGCCTCCGTTTTTCCTACAGACTAGACTAACTGCATGTGTCAATTTAGTCAGGTCCTGATCCCCAGTGAGTCCATCAAACACTCAGCTCTCAGTAAGTCTGCAAAGGTATACTGCAGCTGTGATTATTATCCCTCATGGATTTTAAACAAAGGGGCTTCCACTGAGTCAGGTGCTAGTACTCAACCAATCTACTGAAAGAATCAAGTGCAAACATTAAGGTTTCCAGGAGGAAGAAAATGTCTGTTCCAGGATTGAAGCAACAATTATTGCCCAAATTCACAGCCAGCCACGTTCCCTGCAGTCCCAGGAGCGAATTGTTTAAATGAATTTCTACATACATAACCATCTGCATGTGTATCCTGTCTGCTATGTTCCTTTGTAGCACCTTGGGCTGATGTCATTGTTAATGGTCAAACTTTGGCTCTAAATTCCAGAGCCACTGAAAGAAGAGGAGAGTAGTTGTCAAAGGAATCAATCACAGCTGAGCCCAGCTGATAAGAGGAAGAGAGAAGTAAGACAAGGGGAAGAGGGGAAGAAAAGGAGGAAGGAAGGGTAGAAAACAGGACTAATAGAGAGAATGTGGCTTGGTGACACCCCCCTCCCCAGCCCACTTGTCCAGGACAGAAATAAGTAGGACCTTACCGCATTCCTGAGGGTCTGAGCAATTCTTCCCTTGGAACAGCCACAATGAAACCTGAGCTTTGTGGAGGAACACATCTTAGCAGCAGAGAAAGTGCCCAGTACCTTCAGTAAAACCTAGAAGCTCCAGAAGCTGAGCCAGTTGCCAGATTGAGCAAATAAAAACATGCGAACCAATAAATTTGAAATTTAGATAAGAAAAATATCGTTATTAGCATCAGTATTGTGTTCCATGCAACATTTGCAATCTATTTACTCTCACATTATTCATGTTAATCCAGTATTCAAATGTAAATGGATATCCTGTATTTTATTTGACAACCATGACCTGCCCTTCCTCCTCAAGACTTCAGTGTTGGTTGAACAATGCTATTGTCTTCTCTCCCTACAGGGTCTGTATTGAGAGGAGAGCTCAGAAGTCAGCTGCACTGACTTGTCACATTGACTTGAACTAAGGTTCCTAGCCCAGATTCACCTCTGCTGCCTACTGGACTTGACCCACTGGGACTTCCTGGGAACAGGAACAATAGTCCTTGTGTATGTGGAGGCACTGCCCCCTGGTGGCAGAGGAACCCAACACCTGAATCAAAGCAAGAGTAGGGAGACTTTGTTCCCCATTCCTGGGCCCCTAAGGTCATCCAGAAACACTAGCATTTTACTTTCTTTGTGTACCTTCTTCTCTTGAATTGGGTGCCAAGGATGGCTGGGAGATAAGACACAATCCTCTGCATGACTTTAAATTTATTCCATAGTACATGTCTAACATGTTACCCTTTACTTAACTTTAGCGATTTCATAATTTCCATCTGAAATGTTGCTAAACTTGGAATCCAAAAACTCTGAAAGTCTTCCATTGTTTATTTTGCTAACCTTGAAATTTCAAAGGCCTACATCTCTGCCAAGTCTTCCATCATACCCAGGTCTGGAAGGATGACCATGGCCAAGTGTACAAAGTAGGCTACAGAAAGCCGATGCTTCAATGGTAGGCTCCCAGAGAAGAAGCCACGGCATTCTCACATAGAAGTTATACAGATGTCTCTAAAAATGGGAAGGAAGAGATTAGAACACTTCTGGCTTAGAGGTGTGTCTCTGTGTTTGCAGTGTACAAAGACCTCACATAAATGAAATCATATATCTGAGGAGTGTGCTATTAGTCAACTTATTTTGTAAGTGAACAGTATGTTCTGGAGTCCCCACCTTCATCAAAAGTATCAAATTTCTTTTCAACTCAGCCCACTACCTTTCTCTCCTGACCTGTGAACACCATGAGTGTCCAGAGCTGTTTGCTTCTACAAAACAGTGGGACTGAGTGCTTCTAGGCATTCCTCGTTGCATGTGCCCATAGAACAGGAAGTGGCACTGTGAGGTTCAAAGGCATGTGTGTTGATGACTTTGAGTTGTACTGGCCAACTATTATAAAAGTGCATCCAAAGAGGCTGCACAAAGTAGGACCCACCAAGGAAATTTTTTTTTCTTCACAGCAGTATCAACAAAACATATTATGGGACTTTTTAAATGGGCATCATTATATATGAAAATGTTATCTCATTGTTGCTTTAATTTATATTGCTTTAATTATGAATAAACCTGAGCTATTTTTCATTTGTTTATTGAGTTATCTGCTGGAGTGTTTGAATCTTTATTAAAATATGAGCTGTGTTATTTGCACAAAGGGATGGGGGTGAAAGCTCTTTCTCCCTTCAAGCCAAGCTCCTTCACAGGAAATGTATCATCATTTTCCTTAAGTAGATGCTCCAGTGGGACCAAACACATTCAGTTTAATTACGTGAAAGTTTCAGGCTGAAACCTGAAAGGTATTTAACTCCTACAAAGAGAAGGCATTAACCACACAAACTGATGCTCCTGTCTCTCTCCTCCCCTGCAACTGTGTGTGTGCGTGCATATGTGCGTGTGTGTTGGTCTGGTCTCAGGCTGCCACATCACCTGCTCCCAACAATGTCGCTGAGGCATTAGTCTATTCTAGCTGTTACACAAGCTGAGCACTCTACTCAGATTCCCATTTCCATCTGCTTTGGCAGGAGTGATGGGAGGTGACAGAAGCCCAGACCTAGTAAGTTACCAGGAAGTGACTCCTAGGCTTGTCAGTGGAGCATCTTGGATAAGTTGCTTCTTTTTGTTCTCTGAACTTCATTTCCCTATCTTCATGTGGAAGATTGAGCCAAACCAGAATTTCAAACTGTGTTTCAGTGTTTCAGGGAAGTACACTGGAAGAAAACAGGGCTTCCTAACAGACACTAGACTCTCTCCATGCAGAGCAGTCTGCTCTTAACCATTTCCTTCTTTGGGGTCTACAAAAAGCAACTTTGGACAGAAAGGGATGATTATTTGGCTCACAATTCCAGTTTAGAATCCATTATTGGGGAAAATTCAACTCATGAAATTCAAACAGCTAGTCACATCATATCCACAGTCAAAAGCAGAGAGAAATGAAAGCAAGCATGTTCAGCTTAACTCTTGCACTCTTACATCAATTTATTTAATTTAGACACCACCCACAGGCCAACCCAATGCAGACAATCCTGCATTGACACCATCTTCCCAGGTGATTCTGTGTTGTGTTAAGCTGACAATGTTAACCATCACAGTATGTAATAATTCAGTAACAAAAGATCTTTGGAGAAATCCAAAATGCCACTAGGTACAATAACCTCCTCCCTCCAAGGCCTGCCTACAGGGCTGTCTAAACAGCTGCATCCCTCAACTCAAGCAAGTGAAACCACCAGTTCATATCTTCTAGGCAGCTGGGAGCTTCCTCTCTGCTTGCTAATGAGGTTTATAGACCAGCAAACAATTCTGCAGCCTCCTGGAAGCAGCTGGTACTGATGTCATACTTTAAGCCCCAAGCTGCTACCCCCACTAGACAGGAAAGAGAAGTGGGCCCAGTGAAGCCTTAAAGAGACAGGATATACAAACAAAAGGGCCCAGGGTCAAGTTGCCAAGAACTGGAGTAGGTCTGGAGAAGGAAGGTCTTTGTGAGCAGAGGGAGGGAAATAAAAAATGGAAACCCCTTTTCATGGTAGTGGTTCTTTTGATCCATGAGCATGAGAAGTTTTCTAACTTCTAGTGTCTTCTTCAATCTTTCCAGCATTTTAAGCTTTTCATGATAGAAGTGCTTCTGCCTCTCTCGTTAAATTATCTGTAAGGTGTTTTTAAGGCTGCTGTGAATGGGATTCTTTTGTTTTTCAGCATGTTTGTTATCAATATATACAAAAGCAACTGATACTTGCAATCTGGTTTTCATAATGTGCTACTTTGTTGAAAGAAATACATGAGACTTGGAAAAACAAATATGAAGTTTTCTCTCTCACATGGAAAACATGCACACACATACACACACACACACACACACACACACACACACACACACACACACTGATGTGAAAGTAGAAGAAACACTATTTGGGAACAGGAAGGTGACTAGAAAAGAGGAGTGAGGACTGAAGGTTACTGTGTAACAGACACACAGGAGCTTTGGCTTTTAGACCCACAAGGTGACTAACAGCAGGATGAAAGTCTGCCATCACTGCCTGCTCTTTGTGTCTATCCTGTTTACTTTGAATCTGACTTTTGCTTGAGTTTACATACTGATGTTAATCTTTCAAGGAGCACCCGCCTTATCCTGGCTTATTCATCCTCCCTCAAGGCTGCAGACACAGAGATAAGTCATTGTTCTAAACCTGCAGTCACTTTGGATTCCAAAAACAGCAAAGCC